AAAGTTATCAAAACAAATTCTATGGGACTGAGAAGTATTATTTTCTAATACTTTTTAGTCCATTTATAAAAGCGTTGTATATTAAAAAGTTTTTTTTTATATTATTTATTTTTCCTTTTAAGCAGCAACTTTTGTTGTGATTTTGCCTCTTTTATTAGTTGAAATTTTGCTGTTGCACACACATGTTTGTATGTATACATATATGTATATAGGCTGCGCGCAAATTGTTGAATGAGTTTTTTTTTTTTACTTTCCGAATTATTTTAATTTCTCCTTTGTAACATTTTTCCTGTATCTTTTGCGAATGTTATGGCCTTCTTGGACTGTTCGGAAATCCGCGTACACCGACAAAATTTGGGCATTAGGAAGACAACTATCAATATAACTATGAACAAAATTAAATGTATGTAGATGAATCTTTAGGAGAAAGCAACCCTCTTCGCAATTCAGACGACATTGTATATACAGACTTACGCTTTTATACTAAGAAATAACAACAGAAATACATAAACCTAATTTGTTAATGAAAGTTGGGGACGTGTTCGAGCATATAAATGGACAAAACTATATATATATATATAAATATATTACTCACATTTGAGTGCGACAACGTGAACTGAACCTAGAAAATTTTGGCAAAGACAAATATGCCATGTACATGGCCATACTCGTACATGGCGTATGAGTAACATTTTCCATATTAAAGTTTGAAAAACGAAACGAAAAGTTCATACACAATTACCATGTTTATATGACACTTCAATTCGTTCTAAGTCAAACCATGTTATTTTGACACACACATGTAAACACGTTCTTAAATCGAATTGAAGCTTTTAACCGTGCCAGCAAAAATCAAATTTTGAATGCGAGTTAAGAGTTGTTGAGTCGTGTTAAGAGTGCATATAAACAGGGAATTTGTCCACACGGTTGTTTCATGCAACTCTAAATGAAATAAACCATTTAATTATTTCTTGAAATAACATTTGTGCTAAGCTTTGTTATAAAATTAATAGCTAAAATAATTTTTACATGGCTGTTTGAGGGCCAGTTTTTCAGTGCACGGCCGTGATTTAAACTTAGTTTAAACGCCCGATCCGGCTGGTTTAAACTCAGATTAGCCAAATGCAAGCCAGTTGTTCAATTTAATCTCAGTTTACTTTATCTAATGGTGATTTCGTAATCGATTGGCGCATATTTCTGCATAACTGCCGTTTCAAAGTTGTTTGTTTACCCAGTCTCCCCAGTCGAGTGGATATCACAGATGAAAAAAAAAACAAAAATATTTGGGCGATTCCACCGTCACGAGTGGGACATTTGTACAGAAAAAATGTTCTTTCTTGTTTAAAGTACTCAACAGTTCTACATTTTGATAAAGCTACACCCAAAATGTATTCAACAAAGTGTGATTGAATTTGACATTGCCTCCCTCCTATAAAGTCAAATTGAAAAAATTTTGTATGAATTTTGAATCGATTGTTTATATTTTTTGGCATAATAGTACCTTAAAAGAGAGCCTAACTGAGTTGTCAATCACACCTTGGACAATTATGTATATGAGTTATTACAAAATACGAAAAAAAAATTCCAGCTTACTTTCATATGGAAAAAATCTGAGTATTTCTTCTGTCACGGGTGGAACAAATAAACGAACCTGCTTTTTGGAGCGGATATGAGACATTCTTTTTCACATCGGACAACAAGTTTGGTGTCACACTTTCGATTGGCTCAAAATTTGTTTATGGGTTCTATACATGAAATTATCTAACACATGTTCGATATAAGATGGTCGAGATTGTCCCACAATTTCACAATTTTTTGGTGTAATTGTTAAGGTATGTTGAATTTTTATAATTTTTGTACGAAGTTTTAAATGTGAAATGAATTCACGTGGTTCTGGTTATTTAATGTGCTAGACTTTTATAAAAAAAGATAAACTTTAAATAAACAAAAGAAAAAACCAAACCTGGTCAAAATGTCGCTCAACTTAATCAGCTGACCACAAGGTATATAGGTAATAGGCGAGTCCGCGCTTCTCCCCTCCACCCCTGCATCCACCCCAACAAGCAAACTAAGCGTATCAGCCCTGTAAAACTACCGCTTACAACTGTCCCACTCGTAGCTGTCACGGGTGGGACATGCTTCGCTAAAAAATTATTCTTATCTATGTGGAAACGAAACACGAAACGCAACTTCAACTTCAGTTATTAAATATAATGACTTTTAGCTTTTTTTGTCACGGGTGGGACAAGACCAATACTGCTTAATAATAACTCATGATATAGATAAAGCACACACACAATTTAATATATTGCACAATTTTATTAAAATCAGCTGCGTTCTACTATATATTTTTCTTACCAAACACTTAAATTATGAATCGCAAATTATTTGGCAGTACTTTCAACACAACGTACTTTAAACTCACTCAAAAAATTTACTTAGAAGTTGATTTCAAAACGTAAAAAAAAGGTCATAAAAATGCATTTAAAGCTTCAATTTGTTATTTTTGGGTTGATTGAAGATTTTCACGAATGTCTTATCCACCCACACGTTTCTTAGTTTTATAAAAAAAAAAAAATTTTGCACTAAGGTTCAGTTTCCCATGGAATTTCCCATTTCAGGATTTATTACTTTTTTTTTAATTTTTATTAAGGCCCCTATACAAACATTAGCTTAAAAAACCAAACCTATTTTTTAAAACCTTTGAATAAAACACTGTAATCAAAACCGTTATTTTCACTGGTGCTGAACTATAACCGCACATTAAATGCGTTATTTATAAAGTATTAAACGTGTAAAACCATTAAAAAAAACAACTTTAATGCAATGAATATTGGTGAGAAGAACATAAAAGTAACCTCGAAAATTGGTGTACTCTTCACTAGGTCCAAACACGCAGGATTTTCCAATCATCGATTATCCGTGTTTTTACTGCTTATTTTTTAACGAAAGTTTTCAGAATTTCAACTTCCCACATTTTTCTTTGTCTTTCTGTTGTGAGGCGTAATTCTGTTAAAAGACCAACACCTTCGCCGGTGGTGATTAAAAAATGGCGAGCAAGTTTGCTTTACTGCGGCAACTTTTATTGGTTAAAGTCAAAAATCTACCATTGCCTGCAGAAGGACTACGAGCGAGATCTCTCTTTAAAAAACATCCAGGCCGATTCTCTGAGGACTTATTATATTAATTGACGGAGTTGAACTGTCAAAAAAGTGTCAAACGGCTCTTGCGAAGTTCGAATTTTCTCCTTCCAAATTTTCGGGGAAAATGCTACTCCCTGAGAGTTAATTATTGGACGATTTCTTTCCCTGGGAGTATTCAGAATTGGGCTGGTCATATCGAACCCTAACCGCAAAAAAGGCGTAAGCGACATTTTTTTACTTTTTTTTATTTTTGATGCAAAACTTAATCTAGAACTTCTAGGAACATTTCTGCATTAAATAGAAAATTTCGGATAAAATGCCATTAGGTACGTCCATTTGGCGCTTAATTTCCGATATAAATTCTTTCAGTTAGAGTTAAATCCATCCATCATTGCATACAGCTTTCAAAAAAAAGCAAAAAATTTAAAACCTATTTTTGAATGTCATTTCGTAGTTCAAGATATGTTTTATATTTAGCGAGTTTTTTTTTTACTTTTCCATCTCAGGCGCTTTAAAACATCGTTACACTTATTTCGGAATCTGTTATCGTTCTCGAGATATTTGATTTTGTTACAAAAAAAAGAGTTTAATAGTAAAAGTTTTTGGCGATGAGTCAAACATTTTTGAGATTAGTAGTAATGGTTTTAGAATTAATGAAATTTCTCATAAAACAATTTCTAAATCATTTAGTGTTGCTTGTAAAAAAAATATTTTTGGGAAAAACGTATGCTTTTTATTAACACAGTTTTTGACAAAGAAATGGTTGGCATAGTAAGAATTTCTCCGGAATATAAATCCATAAGTATTTTTTAATCTATTTATTACTTCTCACTCCTCTAGTTGAAAAATATTTTCACAGTTGCATTTAAATTTTGTTTATTTCAATAGCAATAATACAGCCACGCACCGACAAACACAAGTAAAATGTAGACTCACAAACTTGTTTATTAAGTGCACTACACGGCGTATACGTGACTGCTTATTTGCTTTGGTAATAAATGTTGCTCATACGCATCCGCTTACAAAGCAGTGCACGCACTTTTCTTGTTCTAATGTTTTTTAGCCAACAACATAGTTTGACACATTTTAAATTTTCATTATTTAGAATCATTAAATACTTCAAAGCCACATTTACACCACATGTGTGCAATTAATATTGGCCACCTAATTAAATGTCCGAATCGCTGATTAAATGGCAGAAAAATAAACACAATTAAATGAACTTTCGTTGGTTGAATTTTCAAAAGTTTACATTTAATTACAATAATAAGCATTTGTTTCCTTTATTGTTGCGGCTTAATGCGCGTTGGTTGTTGTGCTGTCGGACATGCTTTTCACATTAAGTGCACACGAAAGGAATTTGTAACAAAAATACACGTTTACATGCACTTGATTTGTAGGAAAACGTACACAAACACGGCGACCTTCAAAAATAAAATACCCAAAAAAAAACAACGCAGCTCACTTAATTAGCACTGCCAGGATCAGTTGTCGAGGCCGTTTTTCTTCGTGCTTCACTCACACACAGCTAAAGTATCACCTACTTGCACTCATTTGTATGCTCTCTTTCAATGTGCTCTATTCTTTCTCTCACAATATAATTGCAATTACTTATGTATGTTGTTGTTGTTGGCTTATAATCACTTTTACTTCACTTTGAATTCAAATTCAAATTTAAATTCATTTCCACTTTTCCGTTGGTATCACCGCGATCCTGCAAATTCAAACGCCGCGCGTTAACTGAGCCGTTGCTCTGGTGGCAGCTTCCTTAAATACCGGATTCATACAGGTGCGCGCTGAGGATGCTGCCAACATTGTTGCTGCTGACGTCTCTGCTGCCACCGCATTGTTGCACTCCACCCAACTCTACTCGCCACCAGTTACAGTAGTGAATTGGTTTTAGTCAGCAACGCTTGTGTGCTCGTGAAAAGCTTCAACAAGGACACACACCACAGCCAACTACATATGTACGTAGTTATTGAATTAGTACTGGAAGGATATGGGCCATTGGAAGCGTGTTAAACAATGAAAGCTTAGGTAAGTAACAAAGAAAGGAACCCTGCTTTTCCCTACTTTTTTAGGCACAGCTATATTTAGATTACTAAAATTAGACATACATCACATAAAAAATTCTATATTAGTACGTATACGTACATACTTACGTATTATTTCCTCAAACATTTTTAATTTTCATCTACGTATGTATGTGTGTACAAAAATTTCGCTGTACACCAGAGAAAAGCAAGGAGCTACTTGAATTTGGAGTTCGTTTATACTGAACTAATGTACGTATGATTTGATACATGAACAACGTCAAGCGTACGAGCCGCAACTTGCTTTTAAATTTTATACCGAGTCAACGCAGTGAACAGTTTTTTTTGTTCGAATCATACACTTGTACAATTTCAAACCAACCGAATCGTTGCTTGTATATTGAGATACTCGTTCTGTATAAACGACGTGTTGTATTCATTCGAGAGTTATATGTTCTACCGTTTTTATTGTAAGATTCTAACGTGCGTAAATTATGTCGAATACAATTGAAAATATTTCTGAAAAACTCAAAAGCGGTGTTCTAAGAAAATGTAATAAAAGAAAAGGTCGTAGTGAAGTGTGGTCTGTTTTTTGTGAAGTAGAAGATGATATTGGATGCGCTATTATAGAATTTGTATGCTGCCGTGAATAACACTTTTTCTCCAAAAAAATCCTTGCGTATTCTCGTTACTTAATAATTACTTTCTTATTTATATATCGATTTTCTTCATTGGTAGCTTAATTTTTTTCTAAAGGAACAGGCTTTAACACAAGAGCAAGTATACGAACTGCTTTAGTTTTCAATTATAAACAAAATATAAATAGAGGTAGTAACATTCGTTCGTTATGTATTTCTGTTTAAAAGCTATTTCTGTTTAAAAGCTATTTCTGTCCTCTTTCATTTTATACTTAATTTGGATATGCGGTTTGTATACTATCAGGAAATTACTTTCATTTCGGACTTAAAAAATATTTGGCCAAGTTTGACTGTTAAAAAAACAACTGTTATTTTCGGTCCCTGCTTTTCTGACTCTTCACCAGACCTCCACTTTACTCATTATTCAATGTTAAGTACATATACGCACACGTATTACGCAGTATGTTTCATTTATTATCCTTATTAACATAAACAAGTAAGAAAGTCTAAGTTCGGGCGGAGCCGAACATTAAATACCCGGCGCAAGTATTAAAGATATGTTTTCCACCTTTCCGAAAGCTACCGCTACATGATAAGCCGGGGTGTATACATTTTAAGTAAATTAGCGTCCTTAAATTTCGAAATATTGAAATTTCAAGCATATCTGAAATTTACCGTTATATGAAAAGCGGCCTCAATTTTAGTCCGATTTCAACAATTTTCAACGGTTTGCTTTTATGTGGCAAGCACAATAACCATACCGAGCTTGGTACAAATTGCTAGAACGGTTAGCGAGATACATATATGTGATCACAAGTGGACGGTGCTACGCCCATTTTCCAAAATTTTGTCATAAACGTATTTCTTGGTAAAGAATTGTTGCAATCATCAATTTTGAATAAATTAGCTTCAATATTTACTGACTTATCGAAGATTTTGTATTTCTCGAAATTACCGTTATATGGGATGTGGGCGTGGTTATTGTCCGATTTTAGAAATTTTCAGCCAGTTGGTATGCTGTACCAGGACCAACAACTGTGCCAAGTTTGGAAGAAATTGGTGTAGCGGTTACCAAGATATACACATGTAAGCATAAGTGGGCGTGGCTACGCCCATTTGCCAAAATTTTGTAATATTCTTATTTTTCGTCTAAAACTCATTGCAAATATCAATTTTGAGTGAATAATCTTCAGTAGTTACTAAAATATCGCAGTTTTCGTTTTTCTCAAAATTACCGTTTAATGGGAGGTAGGCGTGGTTATTGTCCGATTTTTAAAATTTTCAGCCATTTAGTATGCTGTACTAAGGCCAACAACTGTGCCAAGTTTGGAAGAAATAGGTGCAGCGGTTACCAAGATATACACATGTAACCATAAGTGGGCGTGGCTACGCCCATTTTCCAAAAATTTATAATATTCATGTTTTCCGTCTGAAACTCATTGTAAGTATCAATTTTGAGTGAATTATCTTCAGTAGTTACTAAAATATCGGAGTTTTCGTATTTCTTAAAATTACCGTTATATGGGAGGTAGGCGTGGTTATTATCCGATTTCGCCCATTTTCAATACCATCCGTCCCACGCCCAAAAGAAGTTCACGTACCAAGTTTCGTTGAGATATCTCAATTTTTACTCGAGTTATCGTGTGCACAGACGGACGGACGGACGGACGGACGGACGGACGGACAGACGGACGGACAGACAGTCACCGCTTAATCGATTTCTCTTTTCATTCTGATCATTTATGTATACATTTGTCTATATCTATCTCGATTCGTTTTGCCTGTTACAAACAACCGTTATGTGAACAAAGTTATAATACCCTTGTGCACAAGTGCGCTCGGGTATAAAAATGCAATTATTACGGAACAAAATAACATGCTGATATTTCATTAAACTATAACTACACCAATTCCTTTGCCTAACGAATTTAACATGGCAATGTCATTGAAGCGTACCGAGAGGGTGCGCGTGGTTTGTCCTTTAGCTAGCGATTACCTGGTGCAGTAGTGACGATTACTAATCGCTAGCTCTTTTCCTAAGGACCAGTAATGCATAATATCGCTGGCAAATTGCCTAACAATAGGTGATGCATGGAATCACCAGCACCAGCCACCAGCAAAACTCCAGCAGAACTACCGGGGGCTCTTCTGCATCCTATACATACTTGCTTTTACAAAGGAACAAAAATTACATTACATACATACATACGTATGTACATACATATGTATGTACATATACAGCTTGAAAAGAGTTGATTGAAAGTACGTACATCGAACGAGTCATACGTACTTTTCTGCTTAATGGCGCATTTACATGGTATGAAGCCATATGAACTGTTGATACGCTAAAATAGAGGGACTACATGTTCTAATGAGGAATTCAATGATATCGAGTGGGATGCATATAATAAATTTTTTCATATGAAAAGTTATGGGGAGATACTGTAAACATACTGTTATGATACTGTTAAGCATATGAAATTATAGCAAGTTGAATTTTCATACATCTTCCCATAAAAATTTTAACAGAAGCAGAGATACCAAGGGGGGTTTTCCCCATTTTGATGCCTTTTTAATATAAAAACCCACCGAAAAGGAGGAAAGCGGCAACTCCGCCATTCAGATTCATGTCAAAAGTATGAATTTTAAAAATTAAAAACAATAAACAAACAAATTCAAAACAAAGAAATTCTTTGTACTAGAATTTTTAAATATAAGCCACTCACGTTTAGTGGACAATAAAAATACGAAGAACTGTGATAACAAACTTACAACAAGACATTACAGAACATTTTAATGAGCTTTATATCACGTTTAAGTAAAAATAAGCCTATATTTCCCAAGCTGGCAAAGAAATGAAAATTTGTATTTTTGGTTGTTTACACAAAGACTTGCCAAATATACATATAAGTCAAAATTATAGAATGCATGTATACTTCTCCCTTCCATTTTTTCATACAGTTTATGCTTCTTTCTGGCTTTTACAAAATGCAGGGATACCGCACTTATTTCGGTACAATATGATCGTAATGTATTTTCAATTCGAAATCAAACAAAAACATCCCACGAAAATTTTTGCGATTTTAGAACCATTAGTGAATATTTGCAAACTACTGCAAATAATAGAGTGCCATATCTTACAAAGTTCAGAGTATTAACGAAACAAACCAGCATTTTATGGCTTCATGTTTCCTTCAAACCTATTAAGTTATATCTTTCAATTTATACATGTGAACTATTTTCAATGAGCATTTTTTCATTTGCTCCAGAATTTTGGGTACATTTTCTTATAGTACCTCTCATTCTTTTTTATATTACATATATACACTCCGAAGTTCGGGATAGTATTTTGAATATACCAGCAATATATGTAAAAGTAGTGGCGGCTGCTGTAGAGCATTACGCAGAGCCTGAGTTCAAGCCCAGTTTTTCTAATAGTGATTGCCCCTCTGTTGGTAATAGTAAACCTCCGAGTGTATTCTGTCATGGAAACAACTTCTCATTAAAATACAATTGCCGTTCGGAGTCGGCGTAAAACTGTCCTTTACTTTGTGTGACAAAATCACGCACGCCGCATATCGGAGGAGAAGCTAGGCCAAACACTAACATATTGTTCAAGCGATATACATATTCGTCGTTTAAAGTACAAAAGCGCGTATCGTGGTTCTGCAAAACCTCGGAAGTGAAATTTGTGCCAAAAAAGATATTTGGTCATCGGAAGCTCCTGACATCAAGCCCTTAGCCATTTATAATAAAATATCGATATAATAAAATATCGACTTAGACATAAGGAGAGAAGATTATTAAGTTTAAAAGAGAGAACCGTTTTAAATTGGGACCAGTTTCACTCTCTCCTATAAAATTTAGGCAACCTCCCATACGAGGTTTTGCATTTCCTTGATGCGCGGTTTTGTGCTTTAAACGAAGATATGTAGAAGTATTGCATACATATTTTGGTGCCTTTTCAAGTATAAAATCCACTGAGAAACGGAAGAAAACGGCATCCCTATAATTTCAAGTTATGCCAAACGTTTCGTAAACAAGCAATTCTGAACAAAAAACTGTTTTTCCACAAAGATGTTTAAATGGAAGCAAATATGGAAAAATAGCAATCCACAAGGCTTTATTGGCAGTAGGTCCTTTTTAAAGCACATTTAACAAAAAAATAAGCTTCTAGTTTCGAAGCTAGCACAAAATAAATTTTTTTTATTTGTTTACAAAAAAAATATTGTCTAGTATACAAGTCAAAATTGTTAAATATATATCGCTTTCATTCATTTCTTCATAGAGTTGGTGCTTCTTTTATAGGAAAATTCATACGGCTTATAAACAG